AAATATAAATAATATGCTCTAAGCTATATTTAAGTGAAATTTTATTAATAGTAAAACTTTAAAATTCCAGAATGCATTTCTCAAGTTTAAGAATATGTATAAAAACATGAAATATTATTTTAGAAAATACTTGATACTTTAATAATAAATTATAATTTGTATTTGTAGAAAGAAAAAGATGAGTAAAATATTTAAATTGAATAATAAAAATAAAATTAATAAATTTAAAGTATTAATTTTACTGAAAACAAATATTAATACTAAAATTAAATTTTTAACTAATTTGAAAATATTCTTTAAGAAGAAAATAGAATAATACAATTTAATAGTGAAAATATATTCAGATTAATGGATTTGACAGGAACAATTAATACATAAATTTAAGGATTTAATACTGCAGTCAATATACTTATGTATTAAATAGAATAATACCATATTTATCAGCAATTGAAGTAGAAATCCAATAATATTAATGAATAGAAAGAATATGACGAAGTTATTAATTAATATTAAAAATATTTAATAAATTAGTATTAAATTAGAACCTAATTCTATGCTTTTTAAAAAATTATTAGAAGAAAAATTCCATATATTTTAAATGAGTTCATTTAAATTAGTAAAGAATGCTATGTTAAAAGCGATTTTTTTATTTAATTTACGGAATGTTGAAAATAATATTGAAATATATATATATATATATATATATATTATTTTATATTTAATTAAAATTATTTTATCTAAGTTTACTAAAAGTTGAATATTGTGTATTTCTCAAATTTTTTATTTTAAATTGATAATTTTTAATTTGTTTTTTTTAAATTAAAATATTATATAATACTTTTTAAATATACTTATTTCTTATATCTTTTATCTTATATCTTAATCATTATATTATTAAAATTATATAATATTGGATTCTATTTATATTTTTTATTTTCTATTGTTTTTAATTTATCATTTTTTCTTACCTTTTTATTAATAAGCAAAACAAAATATATTATATTATTATTTAAGTTTATTTGAGATAATAAATAAATTATATCTCTTAATTTCTTTATTATTTTTTAGAATAAATATTAAAAAATTATGATAGATAAAATATATTAAAAATATATAATTTTATAATATTATTTTTAGATATTTATTTAACAAAATATATTAAATTTTTAAACTTGTTGATTTACAATGAAAATTAATTAAGCTAAGCAAGTTAATACATTTGAAATTTTCAAAAATATATAAAAAGCTTAATTTGTTAATTCAGAATAAAAGATTATTTCATAATAAGATTTTGATTATATATTTAATTATTTATAATAAAATTTTGATATAGAAATTAAAAATATTATAGGAAATGGAACATATGGAATAGTTTATAAAGCCTTTAAAAATTAAATATAAGAGTTTGCAATAAAAATAATTCTTTGTTAAAAAGATAAAGATTTTATTACTGCATATAAATAATATTAAATATTAAAATCATTAAAAAGTGATTATGTCGCAATAATAAAAGAGATTTTGTATTTAGAAAATGGCATTGATTGTTCTGGATTTATTTTAATTTTAATGAAATATTATTAAGAAGGAAATTTAGAAGATTTCATAAAGTAAAATTACATTAAAATAGATGATGATAAAAGGTTAGAATTCTCAATAAATATACTTGAAGGTTTAAATTAAATTCATAAGAAATCCATTATTCATAAAAATTTGAAGCCATAAAACATATTAATAGAAACAAGAAATAATTAAATAATACCGAAAATTGCAGATATAGTATTATTAAACTAAACTTCAACAAAGATATAATAAAAATAAAAAGAAATAAATTAAAATTATTTTCCGCCTGAAATTTTAACATAAGAACCTTATTTTTAATAATGTTCTGATTATTTTAGTATAGGATTAATTTTGCTTTAAATTTATGAAATTGATATATTTAATGATTGTTATTAAAATGAAACAATAACATTTTCTAAAATTTAAGTTTAAAATAATTAAAACATTATTGATTGTATTTGTGGATTACTTTAAAAAAATTCTTATGAAAGAGCTTCTTTAAATCATACTATATAAGAGTTAAAGAATATTTAAAACAAAAAATAATAATTAGAATTTAAGGAATAATGTTAAAAAAATAATTAAAATATAAAAATGAGTTAAACTCTTAAGGAATAAGTCGAAAAGTAAAATATAAATATATAAAAATAGTAAAATAGGGAAAAACAAAAAGAAATAAAATAATATAATATAACAAAAAATAATTAATTTGATTTTGATTTAGTTATTAAAGTAAACAGAAAATAAAGAGTTTCTTATTTAAAAGATTAGTTTTTACTTAAAGTAAACAGGACATTGAGATTATTCAATGTTATTCATAAAGTATTAATATTTTATTTATTTTATAAATTTATTTAATTATATTTTTATAGTATTCTTAATTTGTAAAAAATATATTATTTTTGAATTCAACTATTAAAAAAAATATAGGATGTAATTAATTTATATAAATATAAGAAATTATTATTTTAACAAAAGAATGTAAATCTTCATAAAAACTTAAATTTTTTTATTTATTTTGAATTAAATAATTATAGATTGTATATATTTTTATAAAAATGCATTTAATAATTATTTATATACTTTATAAAAGGAGGTATTTTATAAAAGTTATTTTAAATAAAAAAATTAAAATATATATCTTTCCTAAAGATTGTAAATAAATTAAAGGTTATAAACACAATTTCATTTAATTTTTTATTAAGGAAGTAAAATAAAACTTTAATTTAATAAAAAATATTTTGATAGAGTGTAAGAAATATTAAATATTTATAATTACCTAATTAATTTTAAAAACTAAGTGGGTAAAAATAATAATAACTAAACTATATAATAATAAATAATAGGGAGTAAAAGATAATGAATTATAAATTAATTTTAATAATATATAATATAATCAAAAGAATGTAAATAATTTTGTATGTAATTTATAATTTAAATAGCTTTTTAAATAGTATGTACAGAATATTTTTATATATTTTTTAATTCTATAATTAACAGAAAGTAATATACATAAATATATATATATATATATATATATTAAATAAATAATAGGATGTAAAATTCTTATAAATTTAGTTAACATTAATTATATAATGTTAAAAGAAAGTATTTTTTTAATCTGTTTTAATATATATTTGAATAAAAAGAATGTAAAAAAATAATTAATTAGAATAAATTAAAAATAATTTATAAAAATACAAAAAGGAAGTATATATTTTATTTTATAAAATTTAAATAATAAATATATAGGAAGTATTTATATATAATGCATATACAGCATATTATATTTCTTTTAATATAAATTGAAAGACTGTAAATATAAAAGTTTATTTAAAGTTATCATAAAAAATAGTGGGTAAGACATTTTAAATTATTATAATTTATTTAATAAATTAATAAAAGGGAGTAATTACTAATTATTTTAAAAAATAAAAATAATCAAATATTTAAAGTTCGTAATTAAATTATTTATAGATTATATTTTTAACATTTTTTATAATAAAGATCGTAAAAAAATAATATTTTAATTTATTAAACATACATTTAGAATGTAATTAATTAATCATTAAAAATCATTAAATTTTTAATTAAGTTTGTAAGAAATCTAAGGAAGAAAAAAATCTTAATATTTATTTTTAAAAAAAAATAGAAAGTTAAAAAAATAAAAAATATTTAATGAATAATAATTTTAAAATAAAAGGATGTAAAAATAATAAATAAATTAAATTATAAAATATAATAGAATGTATATAAAAAATCTATTGTAATATTAATATTTAATTTAGAAAGTATTTCTTATTATGATAAATAAATTATTAAATATTTTATTCTATTTAGTGGGTAAATAAAAAGTTTTAATAAATATATATATTAAATTTAGAATGTAAATATACGCACTTTTTAAACATAAAATAAAAATAGCATGTTAAAACTTATAAAATAAAAATAGTAATTTTTTTATTAAAAGGAAGTATAAAATAAAGGTTTTATTAATACAAATATTTTATAAAGATAGTAAAAATTAATTGCTTTTAAAATTAATATTTCTAATAAAAAGAAAGTATTCATTATATTTAAATAATAATATATAATTTATATAAGGGAGTAAAACAAATAAAAATTCGTTAAAATAATTTTGATTATATTAGCATGTACTAGAAAAATTATAAATATTGATTTATATTTAAATTTTCATAAAAAAACTAATAAGATTGTAAGAAAAAAAATCTAAATTTTATTTAAATGTTTAAAAAAAAAGAAAGTAAAAAATTTTAAAAAATAAAATCATAAAAAAAATAAAGCCAGAAGTATTTAAATATAATATTTTTAAGTAAAAAATTTTAAAAATATTTTTTTTTTAAATAGATTTTAGATATATTATAGGAATTTATAAAAATAAAATAAGAAATAGAAAATTTAAAATGAAAACATAATATAAAATACAATTAATTATTTTATAATTTTTAGTTTAAAATAAAATATTATTTCTTTATAATAAATATAAATATTCTGATTTTATTTTTATAGAATATATTTAATAATTTTCATATTATCTTTATATAAATATATATATTTTTTAAAGATATTATAATCAAATATTTTAGATTTTATAATAAATTTTAATAAAAAATATATAGATATTAATTAAATCTATAAATAAATTCTAAAAATAACTATATGCATATCGCATAAATTATTTTTTAATAATATAATTTTTTTATTAAAATAAAATTATCAATATTTTTAATATAATACAATATTATATAATTTTATTTTACAATAAAAAATATAAGAATTATTATTTAACTTTGATGTAATCTTTAAATTTCTCATCTGATAATATAAATGACATAAAAATCTAAAATAAGTGCTAATTAGATTTTGGAATATAATCATTTAATTAATTTTATTAAATAAAATAAGAAATACAAAAGTTCTAGACATTTAATGAATAAAATACCTAAAACAATTTAAAAAATACTAATAAAGACGAATATACAGAATTTTCAGAATACCGAGCTAATACATTTAATCCCAAAGAAGAAAACAGCAAGAAATAAAAAAAGATAATTAAAAAGATTATGTTTGTGGATGTGGAAAATCTTATTATTCTTATCCTGCACTTTATACACATGTTAAAACAAAGCATAATGGAATAAATTAAGAGGGAACATAAAGTAGTACTAATAATAGTAATAGAAGAGGGAGGCCTAGAAGAAATAATGTATTATTCTATATTAAAAAATATATAAATAAGATAATATAATTATTTAACTAATTCAAAAAAGGATTAATTAATGTTGATGAATTTAAATAAAAATAAAGATAAAAAAGAATGCAAATCTGATGGAATTGTAAAAACATATTTATAAATGGTGGAGAAATAAGATATTTAATTATTACTTATTTATTAAGAAGGATAAGGAAAAAGTGATTATAAATAAGGTTTTTTAATAAAAAATAAAAATTCTAATAATGGGTTACTTCAAATTATGAATTAAATAATGTAGAATGATTTTAAAGAAGAAATTAATTCGGAGTCAAAAGTCGATATTATTTTAGGAATTTATTTATTATGTTTATCTTAATATTTTAATGATAGATTTTATAGAATTGCATGTATTTTATTTTAAAATATTAGAAATTGCCTTAATAAATATGGATATAATATTATTGAAGAAGAAAAAAAAATATCAGGTGAGGATATTTAAATTGTTTTGAAAAAAAAGGAGGGCGCAAAAAAAATATAAATTAAATAAAAAAAAAAATAGTTATCCTAAAAATTGAATAATAAAAGAAAAGAAAGTATTAAAAGTGCAAATAATATAAATAATAATACTAATTTTAATAATAATTAATAGCTTTTATTTACTCAAATTGAATGTATTTAATATATTCCTTTAATTTTTGATTATTTTCTTTTGTATTTTTTGCCTGAAAACTAACCATTTTTTGATTAGAATTTCGCTATTTATTTAATTATGGATTTTTCGAATTGGCTTTATAAAAAGTAATTGACTAAACTTAAATCTATTATTTTCTAAACTCGGTTAAAATAAAAAAATGATTTAGAATTTTTTTCTATATAAGATTCTTCTTAAAAAATTTAATTTAAATAAAAATGAAAAAAATATGTTTTTGTCAAAATATAAAATAAGATTTTGTTTAAATAATTATATTTAAAAATACATATATTATATTTGATTTAGTTATTTTTAATGTGAATATTTTATTCTTTTCTTTTTTTCAAATTTTTATATTTGTTTTATTAATAAATAATTAAAAAGCTTTTTATTTCCTTTAGTTATTATCTATTGCTTCTAATAAAAATTTCTAAAAAGTTTCATTATCTTGATGTTAATTCTTCAGATTATAAAAAATATTTAGATTTTCATCAAAATTTTCACTATAAGGTTGTAAATTTTAAAAGAAAATTTTGAAAAACTCCTTATTTCTTTCCTCCCAAACACTATATAGATTTTCAGCCCATAGTTAGGCATACTTTTTAGGATCTTATAAGCCAATACGAAAACCTTTCATAGAAGCTTCAATAATTCTATTTGATTAATTATTATTTTTATCAAGGTAATAGAGCCATAATTTGTATTTTTCTTCAGAATTACAATTTATACTTATATAATATTACTAAAATATTGCAAATTAATCTGATTTGTCTTTTTCTTTTTATGTGTTAAAAATCTCTTCTTTTATTTCTGGACTAATTTTGCTATTTTCTATTAATGTTTGGACTATTTTCCATTACAATCTAAGTCCAAGTTCTTCGTTTTGCCATATTTTTCCTTTATACCAATCTATTATTTGGAATAATTTTTATTCACTCAACGCAAACGAAATAAGAGAATTTTTAACAGAAAGTTTCAAATTTTATTTTTCCACAGTAGTATTATATAACATAGTTTTGGAAATAAAATCGAATACTTAGTCACTTAAATATTCTCTATATTTATGAGGAGTAAATTAAAATATAGCTTCCTCTAATATTTCCAATTAATTTATAATCAAACTTTCTGCTTATTCATTATTTATATGTTTTATAAATAAATATAAATATTCTTCTGATGATAAAATACCATCTCTAACCTTTTTTTTATATATTTAAATAAAATATTTTTTTTACCATATTATGGAAAGCTTGCCATATTAAAGTTCTAGTTAACTCACATTAAATTAAAGAAAGATTTTCTTTGAAAAACTATAAAGAATTTTCATCAAAAATAATTTTGACAAAAGCTTCATCTTAATAATTCAATAAAACAGCTTTAACTTATTATCCATAATCTTTCAAAAATTCACATTTAATAATTGTATGAGGTTAGTTCTATATAAAGGCATCTACAACATAAATAACTTGGCATTAAGAATTAAAAAACGCAGCCTTTATTTTATGATTTCTTAATGTAGGATGCATTTCTAAAGTGCATTTTTACTCAACTATTAAATTTTAATTTTATAAATCAATAAGCCCTTATACTGAATTTAATCCGGCTTTACAAATCCATTCTACTTTCCATTTTTTTAATGAAAAAGATTAATTAAAATTATTTTTTAGAAAAGATTCTTCTAAGCAATTAATAAAGTCATCCAAAGTGCTATTTTTATACGCAAATTTTTAAAAATAACTCTTCATTGCTTCACTAAACGCTTTCTCTGAAACCAAAAAAAAAAGTTATTTTATTACTGCTGCTCCTTTTGCATATGTAATTCCATCAAAAACTGTCTCTGCCATATCTGTATTATTTAGATTATCACTAGAAATAGGATGAGTAGTTACCTATTAATCACATTTATATCCCCATGCCTTTCTTGTATTAAAAACAGTCCAAATATCACCCAAAAGATGTTCACTAGGAGAATTTTTTTAAATTAAATATAATGCATAATGTGAAATAAAATCTGCAAAAGATTCATTTAGCCACACATCGTTCCACCATTTCATAGTTACATAATTCCCAAACCAATGATGTGATAATTCATGTGAAACCGTCATTCCTAGACGAGTTTTTTTTGTAGAATCAACATCTTCTCTAAACAAAGAATTCTCGCTAATAGCTACTATGGATGCATTTTCCATTGCACCCCAAGTAAGTTCTGGGACAAATATTTAGTCGTATTTTGAAAAAACAAATTCAGTTTAGAATAAATCTTCAAATATTTGCATACTTTTGTTAGTTATTTCAAATATGAAGTCTGATAATTTCAATAGATATTTCATTAACGATTCTCTTACATAAATTTTCATTGGAATTTTCTATTTTATTTATATTTTTAATTTTTTTAAAAAATAGTACTTTGTAGGAATTTTAGCAAGTTATCTCTTTGTAAGGACCTGCCATTATTGCGAAAAGATACGAAGGCAAAAGTTTTGTTTTTTTGAAAATCTATACATAATATTCATATGGATTAATCTATATTTTTTAATTATCAAATAAATATGTGGGCTTTTTTCCTTCTTTTAAATATTCAGAAAATATTCTTTTTTGATTTCCTTCTTCATTTGAAATAATAACCCAATCTTAAGGATAAATAACTTTTAGTTTCATAACAGCCTTTAAGTCAGGTTAATCAAAACAAGGAAACACCCTTCTGCAATAAATAACGACAAAATTAGTGTAGATATATTATTAATTATAAGTATCTTTAAAAGAATGAAAACCAAAACCATCTTTGTCATAATTATTTTCGTAATGTATCTCAATTTTGTTTTAACCTTATTTTATGTTTGGAATGTTAATCTAATTCCCATCCCATTTTATTTCGTTTTAGAGCATATTGTTAATTGTTAGTTAATGAATTTTTTTACCACAGAAATCTAAAAATAAAGGGTTTTGGCAATCTGATATGGTTTGGTGAGAAAAAAATTTTATTTTTAAGTGAGCTTCATATTATTCGCCTTTGCATATCTTTATAAATAGATTATAAGATATACTGCCTTATTATATTAAGTTTGATCGATATTCTGCTTCTTTTTGGGTTAGACAGCGTATTTTTTTATTTTATATTTCCATGTTAGTAATTCTTAATATTTATTATATTTATATTAAATTTTATTTAATTTTAATTATATAACTCTTTATATTATTAATTAAAAATAATGCTTAATTATTAATATTGTTTGTTATATTAGGATAGTTTAATAAGATTAATTAAAAAATAATTTAACCAAATTTAAAAAATATAATTAAATTTTTATTAAAATACTAAAAACCCCATTTTTAAAAAATTATATTTTTATAATGAAAATGCATTTATAAATTATATTTTATAATATATAAAGGTTAATTATTCATGAAAAAATAATATAGATATACAGTTTTTTTTAATTATACTTCAAATTAATTTTTTCTAAAATAAAAAAATTAGTTTTCAATACAAATTGCACTATTATTAATATTTATTATTTTCAATTTATTTATTATCAATTTTTATCTGTTCGGAGAAATTTTTAATCCAACATATAGCTTGAAATACCGCACTTTGCAATACAATTAATTTATTGGAAATCAATGTTATGATTTTTGAAAATAATTTATAAATATCTTTATTTTGCTAATATCATATTTATAAATTCTTAAATTTCATAAATAATATTTATATTATTTAACTCGTATTTTATTTTTAATTTAAAAAATTATAAAAATAGTTCTGATATAAATTATTTAACTTTTAAATAATTATCTTTCTGTTATTTCATATACAATTAATATTTATTTGCTCCTTTTTATGTTTATATTTTGCCAATAATATCTGTATTTAATAGTATTATATATATCTTTTCCAGCTTTGTCTCTACTATACTGATTAATTAATTAGTTTATTCATGTAGATAATATGAAATTATAAATATTAAAGTGCATAAATATGCATGATTTTTCTTAAATAGAATTACCATTTAATAAAACTTTAAACAATAAATAACTTTTTAAAATTTATTAATATAAAAAAAATATTTCGAAAAACGAATTAATACTAATATTATTTCATTTATGTTATTTTAATTATTTATATGGTTAAAAATAGTAATTATATAAAAAAAAAATCATTTCTTTTAATCAACTTATAATTTAAAATTTAAAATATAAATGATATTTTTTTTATAAATAATTTTATTATAAATTAAATTTAAAGAAGTATATAGGATTAAAAATAATTCATGTTAATATTGTTTAAAAATATTTTTATGAATTTTTTTAAAAATAAATTTTATTTAATAATATGATTATATAAATAGTTAATTAACATTATTTTAAATTATTATTCTATTAAAATATACAATTGAATATTTATATTTTTATTTATTTTTTTAATACTATTTACAAATATAAAATTTAGAGAATCTTAATAAGATTCTTCCAAAATTTATATTTTTTTAAAGAACTTTTTTGATTATTTAAGAAGATATTTTAAAAATAAATTATTTCATTATTTAATTATTCAAAATATTAGAAATTATATAAAATAATAAAAATAGAAGTAAATCATTTTTTTCTCATTTTTGATTTTTGAGTAAAACAAAAATATTTTTACATTACATTAAGATTAATAAAATTATATTTTAAAATAATAATAATTTAATGTATAAAATTATATTAAATTTTTTAATAAAAACTATAAAATTAAATAAAATATACTATTAAATTAAAAATCGTTTAGGAAATGTCATCTGGTTATATTTTTTAACAATAATAAAATTCTACATTACGTTTTTATTTATAAAATACATCTTCTCAGGTAAAATTAAAAGAACAAGAAAAAGCTTAGCATTTATCTTAAGTATTCTATCAAAATACCTAAAATAATTAACATTTCAGCAAAAACTTTTAAAAAGTAATAAGAAGTGATTCCTTTTTAAAACCGAAAACAATATAATTTAAGGAAGTCGTAAATAGATAATATTAAAAATAAAGACAAAAAACCTTACCATAAATAAAGTAAAAGTAAAAAGATTAAAATATTAGTTTAGAAAAAAAAGATAATTCTTAAACAGATCTATATTTTAAAACCTATTATAAAGGATATAATATCAAAGTTTTTTAAAAGCCTTAAAATAATATAAAATAATTAATTTCAAATTAAAAAAATGATTTAAATTTTTTAAAAATTCTCCGTAAAAAAAAATAGATGAACCATAATAATTTAGGAAGCTTATTCATTCACAAAATAAAAGTTTCGCTGAAAGACCAAAAATTGAATAAAAAAGTTGTAATGAACTAATACAAATAAATATTAATAAATTATAATTTTTTAAATCTCAAACTATTTATCCAATATCAGGAGATTCTATAAAAAAATAAAACAAAATGTTTAAGAAAACATGTCTTGTATTTATAAAATATAATAATAATAAAATATTTTAATCTAAGAAATAGAAAAATATTTAACTTAAAATCCAAAAATTAAAAAATTTATTTAAAAAACAAGCTAAATGAATATAGAACAATTTGTTTTTTATATAATAAAATTTTATTAATATTGTTTAAATTGTGAATTTAATTAAAATAGTTCCTTCGAATTCTAACTACAAAAAATACCTATAGAAATAGCTTTTAAAATTAATAAAATCTATTAAAATTTTCTTTCATAAATTGAAAATCTTTCCCCTGATTTTAATCAAAAATTATTAACAAGAATTCATTAAAATATTTAAAAATTTTTAATTCCATTAACTCTTATTGATTAAATTGGAGGCTTTAATAATTTAAGGAAATTAATAAAAAAAATAATCAAAAGATTAAATCAATAAACTAATACTATAGCCTCAAAATTGCCTTAAATAGATGAAAAAGATCAAAATCTTTTAAATGAATATTTATTACCTACTTGTGCTGCTATATTGAATAATGATATAGATATAGTAGAAGCTAAAATAAAGATATTAAAAGAAAACGACATAAAATTTTCCTATTATGATTATTTTACAATAAAAAAAATCACTTGGGAAATTCTTACATAATTAGATTATTATGGAAAAATAAAATATTAGATTTTAAACAAAATCGAAAATTTACGTTTTTATATGTTTGATCATGTATTTTTATAAGAAAAATAAATTAAAAATATGGGATCTTAAATTTTGAAATAAAATTAATTATTACTAAGCTTTTTAAAAATAAAAAATTTAAATGAATGTGAAATCTTCATTTAAAATATAATAAATGCATTATACAAAGGAAAAAACTTTACTTATACAAAAAATATGAAAGAATTTAAAAATTATTACTTTTTTAATGCTTTACATTAATTTCTTCTTAGTTTTTTAAATGATAAATTAGAAAAATATGATTTTGAGGTAAGATTTATCAAATTTTAATTACAATTTATGTTTCCTTATTAATTTTAAAACGTTTTTTATTTAAATAAACCTGATAATTTTTTTGAAAATTTATATGGATTTCTTGAAAGGTTTGTTGATAAGTTTAATATAGGAAACGTTTTTATGGCTTCTAATGAATTAGATTTTTAATTCTTGTAAATAATTATTTAATGGATTTTTAATTAGAGTAATATTTATTGTGTATTTGATACTAAACCAGCTTTAATGCATTATGCTATTAATTAATTTAAAATCAATTTATGGTTTAAAGGAATATCCGCTTATTTTAATGAAAAAAATATTAATGCGGATGCATTTTCTCCTTTATTGTTTTAATATATTAATTATATTTTACTAATTTAAGAATGAATAAATTATTATTTTTTAATTTTTATTTAATTTATAAAAATAATGATAAATTTTAATATATTAAATTCAATAACTCAAAAATATATTTTTTTAGTATATTCTTAATATTTAATAAATATATTTACTACTTTTTTAATTAATACAAAAATAAACACAACATAAAGAAAAAATTAAAATAATTTTTTTTATATACAAATTAAAATATTTTTATTAATAATAATATCTATTATAGAAAAATAAAAATAATGAACTAAGAGTCAGAAACTTAAAATTCCTAAAATTAAGCATAATAATATATTAACTTATTTATAAATATTTTAGCTTTTCTAACTTTTTTTTTTATTGTGATATTGCCTATATTACACCGACTAAAAAAACCATAAAAAAAGTTGACTTAAAAGCAGCATGCCTATTAAAATATTTCTTAAAATATTCAAATAAGTGAAAAATAATAAGTAATATAAAGAGATTTTTAATTAAAGAAATCAGATACGATACAATAACATAATTAATAACTAAAGGATTTTTAAGGATAGAAACAATTAATTAATACATATCAATTTTTTTAAGATTTAAATTTCTAAAAATTACTTCCTAATATAGAAACATATGAAAACATTTTATAATTAACCTTTGAAATAAAAGATAATAAAAACTCAGTTTATGTTTTTGATTATTTCAAGAACAACTCAAGTGATTTAATTCCGAGCTAATAACTAATTTAATTATTTTTAAGATCAATATAATGTGCATTACCCTTATAAATAAGTAATGAAGAGGCTATCAAAAAAATAAATTTTATACGATAAATTATAGAAAAAAACTAAATAAAAATTAATGAAATTAATTATATTGCAATGATTGATATTTAATTAAGAACTTTAAATTTAGAAAATGCAGTTTAACTAATGGGCGATTTTGAAGAAGATTATAAAATTGATTCTAAAAGGAAAAATGAAATGTACTTATAAATCCTGAAAAATATTAAAGGATAGTAAATTAAAAACCCTGATGTTATAGAAAAATTATTTGACTATGCAAAAAATATATCATAAGTACTTTTTTTATAATAAAAAAATGTTAAAATTAATTTATAAACTAAAAAAAAGGAAGAAAAATTTCATTATAAAATGGATGAATAAATATTAAATAATTTAATTGACATGTCATTTATTTTTCCTGAATTAGCTTCCTTTGCACTCATAGCATACTCATTTTTTGAAAAATTCAATATTTAGCCTTCTTAAATTACTTATTGCATTTTAATAAAAGGATTTGGTTAATTAAAGAACTATTTGTAAGCTATAACTATATATTAACAAATGAGATTAAATAATATTCCTTTAAACGAAATATTGTTAGGATGTTTAGTTGATACATGTGTAAAATGTAACTAATTAACATAAGCCGAAAAAATAATAAACGAAAATCAAGAAAATATAAAGCCAAATACAATTATATATACAACTCTATTAAAAGGTTATACAAAATAAGAAAATATGTAAAAAGCACTTCATGTATTTAATATGATGCTTTAAAACAAAGAAACCTATCCAAATATAATTACTTACAATAGTTTATTAGAATGCGCTGTTAAATCTAATGAATAAAAAGAAATGGAACGTATTTTTTAATAAATAGAATAATATAATAATCTTAAACCTGATTTAATTACTTATTGTACATATATAAAAGGCCTTTTTAAATCTAATTAATTCAAAAAAGCTTTCTAAGTACTAGAATAAGTAAGAAGAGATGAAAAAAATAATTTAGATGAAATTTTCTATAATACACTTTTAGATTGCTTGCTTAAATTAAAAGTTTATGACTATGCATATAAAGTTTATGAAAATATGAAGGAAGATAAAGTAAAACCTTCAAATGTAAGCTTTTCTATAATAATTAGATTAAATAGTAATTACGGAAAAATCGATGAAGCATTAAATAATTTGGATTAATTGAAAAGTATGGGAATTAAACCTGGACTAATTGTATATACTTGCATAATTCAAGCTTGTATTAAGCATAAAAGAATTGGGTTAATTCTTCCTTTATATGAGGAAATGAAAAATAATAATGTAAAAGGAGATACAGTATTCTACAATACACTTATTAGTGGACTTATGTTTAATCATTTATTAGAAGAAGCTATTAAACTTACTATAGATAGTTTGAATAGAAAAATTATTCTGAATTAGGAAGTTTATCATAATTTATTGGGAAAAATTATATAGTTTTATGAAAATTTAAGAAAACGAAAAAATCAAAAAAATAATGTAGATGATAATAATAAATAAATGAGTGTTGAAGAAATTGAAAAAAGCGTTCTTAAAATTTGCTAATTACTCAAAAAATATTAAATTAATATTGATATAGATATCTATAAATAAGTTATCAATCTTATCTTTGTTAAAGATAGTGAAGAAAAAATATAATACCTTAACTTTGAAAAAATAGGAAGCTTAGGTAATTTATATAAGAGTAAGGGAATTTCATATTCGAATAATAACAGTTATTCGTCTTTTAATAGTTTAGATTAAAATAAAACTAAATCTTAGTTTTATAATAATAGTGCTAATAAGTTAAATGATAAGAACTATAAAAATTAAGTAATTAAAAGATCTAACTTTATGCCAATTTAGAAAAATTGAAATTTCTTTTAAAAATTAGTAAAGATAGATATCTTTTTATTTTTTAATTTTTAATTATAAAAAATAATTATGTAATTGTTTGAAATTTATTTCTTATTTTAGTATTTTAATAAAAAATAATCAAAAAAAATTTTTTTTTTTTTTTTAACAAATTTTAAAATAAAATGTAAAATAATAAAAATTATTATTATAAGGGATATTTAATAAGTAAAAATGCAACCCAACACTTTTAGAATCAATAATTAATTAAAAATATGAATATTCTAGATAAAAAAATATGACTATATATATGAATAAAATTAACAGGAAATAATAGAGAAATACATAGTAAAAATTTAAGTATTTAAATTATATAGAGTTACATAAATTTGATTTTAATATCAGATTATGCAGTTAAATAAGAAGAAGAAAAATAAGCAAATATTAATTTTTAAATAATATAATAAGTTAGCAATTAAATGAAAAAATAATAAAAAAAATATAATTAAGGAATTATTCTAAGAAAATGGTGATTTATTTAAATACAAAGAAGTTTTAAAAATAATAAATAAATTAATAAGCTTTTTAAATATATATTTTTAAAATTAAGTTTGATTTCTCATTTATTTTGTATTCCTTCAGGTATTTTTTTTTTAATCAATCTATTTATTTATTACTATAAATGAACAAATTAAATATATACTTAGAAAATATTATAAAACAAAAGAAGGTTAAAGATTTATAATTTTTAGATGAATATATTGAAAAATTAGAATAGGATTATAAAAATAAATGAAACTATATATAAAATATATTAATTAGATTTTATTAATTAATAATTTGCTTAAAGAAATCTTAAATTGAAAGATTTTAACTAGAGAAGTTAAAAATGACCGATATACTTTAAAATTTTTAATAAAACTTAAAAAATAAATTATTAATTGCTTGCAAAATTTCTTTTTTGTTCTAAAAAATAATCAAAAAAGAAAAAAATAAGAATCAAATAATACTAAGAATAACTCATAAAAATATATAAATTAAAATAAAAATACATAATCAGTAAAATTTTATTTAATATACTAAAATAAATAATTTTAAATTGGTTTGTAATAGAAAAATTAAATTTGCTCAATTTTGTTCTCTGAAGAAATAAAATTTATGTAATAATTTATATTTTTACATCATAAAGATTTTCAAATTTTAAAACTAAAAAAATCACTAATAAAAATTTAGTTTTTTAACTGAAAATAATGCAATCAATTTATATATTAATATTTTTAAAAATAATTATATTATAATAATTCTAGAATATACATAAAATAATTGATTCGTCCATATTTTAAAATATAAAAAATTATCAAATAAATAAATTAATTATATAGTGATTTAAGTTAAATATGAATTTTATTAATAATGCTGATAATAAAATCAAGATTTCGCACTTTTCAAATTAGAATTGAAAAGCATAATGTTGAAAATAAATATATCTAATATTTTGTGTAAATTAATTATAAATAATAATCTTTTGTTTTATATATATTTAATTAATATAAATATGATATTACTAATAAATATAATAAAAAACTATTTAAGATTATTTTTATAAATAAAAATCTTAAATTAAATAAAAATATAAATATAAAGATTTATAAAATAAATTAATATAAAACGATTTTTTAATTATTTTATCATATTTTTGGAAAAAAAATATTCATAATTATATGTATTTTTCCCACCCTAAAGGAAAAATAATCTCATTTTCTAATAAAGAATATTAAAATATATCATTTTTCCAAATTCCTTATTTAATAATAATCCCATTTTAAATATTTTTTACAACTCCAACTCCATTTCTTTAATCATTTTCCCAAAAACCTGCATATTAAATAAAATAAAAAATAAATTTATAATTTATAATTTTTACCTATAAAATATTTATTTTATTTATTATTTAAATAACAACCAAATCCTTAAAATTTTCCTTTCTAAAATTATCCATTATAAACATCTCCTTTTCTAAATTAATCTTAAGGTTTAAAATAAAAAATTCCGTCACCTTAAAATAAATTATCTTTCCATTAACCTTCATAGACATTACCATTAGCATATTTAAAAATTCCAAATCCATTCATTTTTCCATTTAAAAATTCACCTTTATATAATCCTTTTTCTTAAAAAAAATATCTTTGTTCTATTCCTTTTTTAATTTTATTAATCCAAAACCCACTATTTAAAAAATATTCCTCATTTTCTATTTTTAAGTGATAATTTCCTTATTTAAATTCATTATTTTCCCATTTTCCTTCAAATTTAGACCCATTATCATATAAAAAAGTACCTTCTCCATGTCTTAAATTATTCAAAAAATTCCCTATATAAACACCTTATTCTCGATAATAAAATTTACTTCCAATACCTTCAAAAAGAAAATAATTTCGAAATTCTCCTTCATAAATAATATCTTGAAAATTAAACAGTTTTCCTTTTTTGGGCAAATCATCTTCCCATTCTCCATTATAAACAAGAAATCCTTACTAATTAAAAAAACTTCCATTACCATTTTTAAGGAAATTATTTTTAATGGTTCCTTTATAAAAAGAGCCATCTACATAAACTATTTTTCCTTCCAAAAGTATTCCTTAATTCCAAATTCCTTCATATTTATTACCTTCATCGCCTATTAATTCCCCTTATCCATGAAACATATGTTTATTAAAAAAGCCTTTGTAAACTCTTCCGTTTGGAAAACTTAAAATTCCATATCCATCATAAAGACCCTATTTAAAATTTCCTTCATAAATTATTTTATTACAAATTTCTTTGCCATATCCTTCTGGAAAATTTTTATCAAAAAAACCATTAAATTAATAAAATTCAGACTTTAAAGTTCCTATACCTATTTTAGAATAATTAAGGTCTATTTCTCCAAAATATTCCATTTAATTATTTAAAATATAGTAGCCTGTATTTTTTAAAATTGGAGCATTTAATTAAGTATATTTTTTTAAAAAAACAAAAAAAAAAAGTTTTCTAAGTTTTCTTCTGTTATTTATGCTTATTCGTCCATAAAATTTTTATAATTTTCAACAAAATTGATAAATTCAAAAATATTTATCCTTCTTAAATTTCTTTAGTCTAAAATTTATATTATTTCTTATATTTGCTATTAATTAATATTTAAATATTATGCATATTTCTCACTAAATATTTCATATGAAACTTCGTATTCAAAAGGAAATAATAAATTCCATACTTGAAATCCTTTTTTTCTTTTAATGTAATATACATGTAGTTAGGTAAAGTCCCAAATTGAATTTTGTCTTTAGTTTTATTTTCAAACAAAGTAATTAAATTTGTTATTTTTTACAAAAAAATATGGTCATATGTTAGATTTTTCAAATTTAATTAGTAGTTTTCTTATAACTAAATATAAAAATCTTATATAATTTATAGTTATAGGATATATTCCGTATCATTATCATATTTTAAATAGAAATTAGAAAACTTATTCATTAAAATAAATAAATATATTGCCTTGTTTTTAGCTTCTAACTATTCTTATATTAAATAATCTTCATTCATAAAAGTTTTCATAATTATATTTTCTAACTAAAATATTGAATTTTAAAGTTTATTAGCTGCCTTTTGAATCGTATTTTTAAAATATTTGCAATTTTTTAAGGTCTATTTAATTATTTATCTTATTTATTAAAATGCTTTTATATATTTTTTTTATTTATTTTTTTAAATTATTTGTATTTTACATTCTATTTATAATTATGTATTTGTTTCTTATTATGTTTCTGATATTAATATTTAATCAATTTGTAGTTCATTTACTTATTATTTTTATAAAATTAAAAAATTTAAAGTTTTTAAATTACATGGAATATTTTTATATTTTAAATCTTTAAAATAATTCGTCTCTTATAATGTTTATAAATATTATGATAAGTTTTTTTTTTCTATGTAGTTTTAATATTCTTAAGCTGAACAGCATAGACCCATATTTAATTATAAAAAAAATTATATTTTATTTTTAATTTTTAATATAATAACAAACAGATAAAATTATACAAAACATATAAATTAATATTAAATGTGAGTAAAAGCATTTATTTTTATAAAATAATAATAAATTTTATATATTGCAAGCTCTTCAAATATAACTTATTTATTATATTTAAAATATATTATTTTTATCAATTTAACTTGTAATATTTTTATTTAAAAATAAATTAAAAATTAATATATTTTTTATATTTGACTATAAAAACTTTTTTTTATAAATAAATTCAGAAATATCAATGACACTTTTTTATAAATTTAAATTAAAGATAAAATTTTAGTCTAAATTATTTTTATGAATTAATTAATATATTTATTAAATTTTTTAATCCACTTGTATTATTTTACCATTTTTTTTCAAATATTTTTGATATGTATTTCTATTTCCAATTTATAATTAAATAATAAATATTATTTGCAAATATCTTAAATTATAAATTATATTCAATCTTGATTAAATATTATTCAAATTGAAATTTTAAACTATTTCTTTAAAAGCATTTCGCATTTTTTGATATTATAGTTGCAAAAGTTGCAAATTGCGAACACTTTAATTTAGTTTCAAAACAGCTAATTTATTTTTAATGACTATATTAATTAATTGATTTTGTTTTTGGCAAAATTTTAATTTTACTAATAAAAATAATATAAATGTTTTCTTAATTATCTTTAATTTTCATTTTGTTATATATGTTCTAGAATGTTTTAGTATCTTATACTCTAAGCCTAAAAAAGCCATTTATTTTGAGTATACTTCACCAGCCACTTTTGTAAATAAATTAATTTTTTAATATAATAAATTGATATTAAATAAAATAGAAAAAATAAATTAATTAAATATTATAAGTAAAATTTTGTATTTTTGTAAGATATGTATAAATTTATATTTTTATAATATTTTTTAAATTTTCTATAATATATGGCATAATATAAATATTAAAATATAAAATCAAATTTATAAAATTAAATATATGCTAGCGTCATAAAACAAGATTTTATAGTAATGAGGAAACATAAGTATTTTATTATGAAATTTATCGTCCTAAATATCCAAAAAAACTAATAGAATAATTATTATAAAATATTCCTACAAAATAAAATTACTTAGATATTGCTACGGGGACAGGTTAACTTTATTGGAAATTTAAAAATATTTTGAAAGATCTATAGGTGAGGATATTTCTGAAAAGTAGGTTAAAGTTTTGTTTGAAAAAGTAAAATAAATGCCAAATATAGATATTTTGCTATGCGATAGTATTAGTATTCCTTCTGTTTTGAAAGAAAAAAATTTAAATATTTAAAAATTCAATCTAATAACCATAGGGTAATCTTTGCATTGGATGGATGTTAATAATTAGCTTAAATTAATAAAAGAAGAGCTTTTACAATATGATGGTAAAGTTGGAATATTTAGTTATTTTTTGGAAAAGCTTTTAATTTAATTAAGCAGACTGTGATAATAATTTATAAGAAAACTGTAAAAAGTTTTATAAGGAATATTTAGATTTCTATTAAAAATTTTGTGATTATAATTTTTTTGAACTTTACAATGGTTATCCAGGATACGATTTCGAAAAAATATTCAAAAATGTGCAACGTATTTAACTTGATAATGTTACGGAATGTACATTAGAAGAACTCATTAATTATGAAAAAACCAGATCTGCATATAACACTTTTTTAAAGCAAAAGAAAAACTAAGATTAAGATCCTTTACTTAATCTTAAATAATTAATTTAAAGCTAAATTAAATAATAATAGGTGTAGTTAAAAGTTAATTTCAGATATTTTTTAATAATTCTTTCTAATTGAAAAAATATATATATTTAATTTCATTTTCATTTATTTTATTAAATAAATTTTCAGAAAGTATAAACTTATATTTAATTCATCAATATTATTTATTTTTTAGAAATTAATTTTTTTAAATAAAATTTTATTAAATTAAATTATTATTTTCATTAATATATGAAATAAATATTGAATAATTAATTATTTGCACAAAAAAAATATTATTCGAAATGATTTTAAAATATATAAATATTTTAAATTTTATATTCAAACAAAATATTTTTTTAATTATTATAATTTTATGCCTAAAAGTATAATTAATTATTTGTGGAAAAAAAAGTAAAATTACATTAAATATTTTTAATTTATACAATAAATTTAAAATATATATATAAAATGAAAAGAGTATATTATTTATTTTAAATTTGTATCATTACTTATTATATTTTACTCTAATCTTTCTAACTTTATAAAGTATATATTTATTTTATAAATTATTACTTATTTTTATATATTTTAAATTTCTTTTTAAGTTTTGAAATTTATGTTTAATTAAACTTAATATATTAAATATATAATCATAATAATTTTTTTATGTACAGTATATTTTTTTTATTTTTAAATTTTTATATTGATTTGTTACAATTTAATTCGAATAGCTTAACTTATTTTTATAATTATGACTATTTATATTTTTTATACTCTAAATTATTTTAGAAATAGTATTTTAACATTTTATTTTTATTTTTCATTAAGTTTTTTTTAAAAAACTTAATTGGCATAATAAAAAACGAGAGATAAAAATAGATTATATACAGTTTAGTATGCATTATAATATATGAAAGTTTTGGCTTTTTAATTTATTTTAACTTTTGTGCATATTTTATTCTTTTATTCTCGAAAAGTGTCTTTCTTTATTAAAGCTTCGAATTATATTATAACATAAAATTGAATTCTTATATTATACTAAGATTTCTAAATAAAATATACTATCTTATATTTTATACATATGTATTTAAGCATATTTTATTGCAGTTGTCTTTTAAAAGATACTTGAGCAGTTAAGAATATTATTTTATAAAATATTTGAATATTTTTTTAACTTAAAAATTAATATGATTAAAATTTAATATATTATAAATTATTTTTTAATAATTATAAATTTAAAACAATTTTTTTTTTTCACAATTACAATACTATAAACTAAATTAAATTATACTCTTTGATTTGCTATTAATAATATTTTTCTATATAAAATAATATTTTTTCAATATTTAAATACTTAATAATATCCCAATACTTTTAAAGAAAATAAAGTTATTCATGTCGAAATGTGCAATAATAAATTTCATTTTTATTTGCTAAATTAGCTGAAATTAATTAAAGAATAAGTTTTAATTAAGGATCTCCTTGAAAAACACCACATCCCCAATTACCAGTAACAATCTGATTTCCTTCATAAGAGGTAAATAGAGATAGAGATTTTATAATTTCTCTTTATAAATATTTTTATTCAAACTATTATAATTAATTATCAAGTTTTCTAAAATCAAAAGCATCTTTAAATCCATAAACTATATCATATTAATCTTTTAATGGAAATATACCTGCAAATTAAAAACTATTAGCGTATCCAATATATTTAGAAAATTTATTAGCCCCTAAAACTAATAAAGACTCATTTTCTTTTAAATATTCTGTAAATAATATACTTGGTAATAACTCTGGTGTTGTTATAAATAGTATTTCTTCTTATACACATCCGTATGAAAGAACACCTCCTCCAATATATTTATCCGCGAAATTAATTTATAAGCAACTTAATTTATCAGTATAATATTCTATAGCATTATCATTATCGAAATATACATTCATTTTTGCAAAATTTAAATCTATTTAATATTTAGTATATAAATCAGAAGATTCGAAAACACATCTTCTGTAAATAATCATTTACTAAAAATAGTTAGTATTTTAAAACTTTATATTTTATATTGTTTCAAAATAATTAATAATACATTTTATTTTTTCTATTGATATTTTCGCATTATCTTTAAAAATATTCTCAAAATTGAAATTTTTTGAATATTTTTAGCTTTCTTTAGGTTATAGTTGAAAAATACATAAAAACATACAAGAAATTAATGAAACTATTTCTTATTTAGAAAATTTTAATTAAGATGGTATATTTTATTCTAGATTATTTATTGGTTATTTTATATTTTCTATTTTCAATGCTTATTTAGCTATAAAAGGAAGAATACTTTCAAAAAAAAAAATTTTTAATTTTTATTTAATTATTAAATATATTAAATCAAATTATCAATCTATTTAGGATAAAAATACTCTTTTAACTAATCTTCATTTGAGATTTATTGTTTAATTAATTTTAATAATTTCTCTTTCTTAAGAAACCAATTTTAAACATAATTTTTAATTAATATTGATTAATTTATCATTTTTATTTTTTATCAATTTATTTTTAAATAATTTAACTATTAAATATCTATTTCTAAAATTTTCTCATAAAAAAATAAAAAATATTAATTATATAAAAAAGTGAGATTAAAAAATGGTAAATTTAAAATTAAACTTGAAAAATAAATCTTAAATTAATTTTGTATGTATGAATAATTATTAAATAAAACTAAAACTAACATAATTAATTTTAATACATTATAAAATTAATGTATCAATAAAAAATGTATTAAAAATATAATAATATTAAAATTGATGACAAATATTAATAATAATTAAATAAACAATTAATAAAATAAATAATATGAATAAAGTATTATTAAAAATAAAAATGATTAAAAGAAAAATATTTATAAATAATGATATATTTTTATATATACAAAAATGTTTAAAAATATATAAATAAATATATAAATATATAAATATATAAAAAATTTTTATTTATATATTTATATTTTTATATATTATAATATAAATAAAATAATTTTTTTTTTAAAATATAAGATATTAAATTATTTCTTTTATATATTTATATATTTATAATATAAATATAATATAATTTTTAAAAAATATAAGATAATAAATATTTATTAATATATATAAATAATAATTTTTTAGAACTAATATAAAAAATTTATTATTCAATGAAATAAAATCTTTGCAAATTAAAAATGCATTTTTAATGATTATTTATATAAGTATTAAAATTTATTTTACATACTTTTAAATATAATAATTAGTTAATTATTTTTTTATAATAATAATAAAAAAATTAAAAATATGATTTAACATATATAAAAAATTATAGAATAAACTTATAATTTAATTAATAACAAAGTTAAATAATATTAACATTTTTTTGTATATTTTAATAATACATTTATTTTATTACCCAAAATTTAAAAAAAATTATTATATAAAACTTTCTTAATAATTTAAGTTATGAAAAAAATAAAATATTAATATAAAAATTAAGATCCATAAATTTATTATCATAATAAAAAAAGTTATGAAAAACAAAAATGAAATTAAATGGTAAAATAATAATAAACAAATGCAAAAATATGATTTCAATATTAAAATATTTATATTTTAGATTGTATTAATCAAATTAACTTTATTTATTAAAAAATATATTCAACCAAAAGGATTTTTTTATTTTGAATTATATTTTTAGCAAATACAAAGTATGAAAGAATTATATTAATAAAATAAAAGCCAAAAATTATTCTACTAATTTAAAGAATAAAAAAATTTTTTTTATACTAAAATACCAAAATACTAAAAAATAATTAATAGAAGCAATAAAAGACTTTAACAAAAAATGAAAAAATTATTATAGATGCCTAAATAATTCCTTTAATCTTCTTAATTTGCATTTAAAAGTAATTTTTAAGATTTACAAAACTAAAGAATATAAAATTTGAAAGAAAAATAATACACTATTTATTTTTTAATTATATAAGGTATATTAATAATTTTTTAACTTATTCTCTATTTTTATTTTTATTTTGATTTAAATAAATAAAAAACAATAAATTGAAATAATAGAATTTTTCATTTCTTATCTTTATTATTTTATTCATTATAATTATTATTTTCTTCGTCTTTTTTTTTGATTTCTGTTGTTTGTTTATTTAATTATTCTTCTTTATGAACTTGCTCCATCCAAGCTTAGTTATAATATTTTTCAAAAAAATCAGCATCTTATTTTTGTACTTTATATTTATTGGTAACATCTTCTCTAAACTATTCAAAATGTTTTACAATTTCTTAAACAGTTTAATCATCAACTCCATTTTATTTAAAAGCTTTTTCGATAGAATCCATAGCAATATCAAAATAATGACTACTTATTTTCAAAGCTCTATGAGAAACTCTCAAATTCCTTCCTTTGTAAGGATAAGGACCTCCTAAAGTATTAACTCCAAAAGCCTAAGATCCTGGAATAAATTTTTTTCATCTTTCCAAATAAAATAATGTTCTAATTCAGGATTTCCTTTTAGCATAAGCTTGAAGTCTTTCATTGATTTTTCTACAACATCTTTTCCTCCACATCTATCAAATAAAGTTTAATTACCAGTAATATCTTTTTTAGAACTATGACCAAAAAAGAAATTATATTTTGGAATATATTTTCTTAAACTAGATAACATATTTTATGTATTTATAATTAATTTATTTTTTTAAAAAAAATAATTTATTTGTAAAATAAATTTTTTGAAATAATATATATTAAAAAAAATAAATAATTTTATAGATATATATAATAAAAATAATAATATTTTAATTAAAATATAATAATAAATAAATATATATATTAAAAGTTAACTTTAATTACATAATTAATTTCATAAAATTAAAAAAATTATATTAATTAATATTTTAATAAATTTAATTTTTTAATTAATTATTTTAATAATTAATAATATATATATATAAGTATAACTAAAATATTTTAAAAATTTATTCTTTATAAGTATATGTATATTTTATTTATTATTTTTATATTAATAATTTATTTTTAAATAGAATAAATCATTAAATAATTTTTTAAAATCTTTTAAATAAATATATTTTGAATAAAAATATAAAGAGAATTTTTAATATAATTGTTAAATAATATATACTTTAAAAAATATAAAATATATAAAATATATATATAAATATATATATATATTTATATATATTTATATTTAATTATATATTTAAATATTTATTTATATATATATTAATTAATTATTTTATTATTATAAATTATTTTTATATGTATAAATATATATGAATATTTATTTATAGGTTAATAAATATATTTGGGGTTATAGTTGGGGTTGGGGTTGGGGTTGGGGTTGGGGTTGGGGTTGGGGTTGGGGTTGGGGTTGGGGTTGGGGT